TTCAGCTGTAGCACCCTTCCGGTGCCTAGCTGCCATGCTACCCGAAGGAAGCACGAGGGCTGGGATACTGCCAGGTTGCCCAAGCCTAGACAGGGGAAGTCGAGTGGCGGAGGTCGGATTCGAACCACGGACCTTCTGGTCAGTAAATTCTCGCTCTAACCACTTTGGCCATCTCGCCCCAGATCCTTCTCGAATGCAGACGATTCTAAATAACTTAAACAACTGTGCCGCACGGTTCGGTATGTGCTTCACACCTGCAACGTGTGAAGTGCTGCTACAAGACTAGGTTGGATCAAACACACACCTTGTGTTTGCAGGTGAGGCGATCGACATGGTAGATAAATTTATTTATCTGGGCAACTGTAAAAGTTCCGGTGGACTGGTTGGAGATGAGATTATCTCCTGAATAGGAAGGGCCAGGACAGCTTTTGCCAACCTCCGACACCTGCGGTACCGAGGTGACTCAGTTTGCGTGTCAAGGGCAGAGTTTACACAGTGGTGCGATCCATACTACTTTATGGATCAGAAACGTGACCCTACGCGCAGAGGACATACGAAAGATGTCGGTGTTTGACCATCGGTGTCTTCGAAGCATCGGTCGGGCCTGGTGGGAACATCGGACTAATAATGCTGAGGTACGCTAGATTATCTTAGGAAGAAGGAACTCTCCGCGAAGGATGAATTTCTCACGTTTCATACGTTACGCTGGTTGGAACATGTACTCTGCACACCTGAAGACCGTCTGCCTCAGTAGCTCTTTTTGCTCAGCCTTGTGCTGACTGGAACCAACCGAGGGTGGACAATGTACGACCTGGCAACGAAGTACTAAAGGACTAACCAGTAAGCTTAGTCAGGTTAGCAACTGCCGCTTCCCTGGATGGGGGCCCAGGGACTGAACTCACCAATGGTTGATGGCTGACAGAAATAGCTCCATCGTTCAATCAATGGCGCTCGTGTATCGATGGTTTTGCCTCTAATTTGGATCTTTAATCACATGCCATCGGCTCTAAGGCTTGTTGCCCGTTGACCCGTAATCTAAACTCTGGCAAATGTAAGAATTATGCATGCCCCACACGGTTTCTAGCTGATAAGTTCAGTTTGATTTAATGACTGTCGTTTTCGTCCATTAGACTAGGTTATCGCACATGTTTGAAGTCTCCTTTTTATTGGCCCACACGATTGATGGCCGAAATGTTACTGTAGGTGTGAAATTCAAAGGACAACGAATTCACTAATGTGTATGACGGGCCACCGTTGGCTGTTCATAAATGTGACCTGATAAACAACATCGCACATGGATACCGGCCTAGCATTTACAATAGCAGCCAGGGTATGCAGCAGCGCAAAAAATTTTCATGATTACCAGCAAAGGAAGGTCTAAGTTCCATCAGCGTTATTGGATTTTTTAAATATTACAGCCAACGAGCGGGTTTGTTTCAAATGGGAAAATGTCGTGTTGGTCGCTTACATTCAGGTGCCTTATAATCCGGCACCATTTACTTGCTATTTGTGCATATCCAAAAGTGGACGTCCTTCGGATGTGTATACTGATATCACTACCATACAGCTGCTTCAAAACGCATCGAATTTTCTTCTATTGTAATAATACTAATAATAATTTTTCTTCCAAACTATTGGGTGGCACATCGTCAGGCATGTTCATTGTACTACTGTTCGAATAAGAGCATGGCTGATGGGGTTTGCGATTAATGGGAATTTCCTGGAAAGTGGAGAGTGACGTAAACCGTGGTCATTAACGAAGTAGAATTCATCACACCTGAGCTGGCATGGGCAGGGATCCAAAATTACAAGGGCTCTTTATCTTCTATGGAGGACATACCAGATGACAAAATATCTGATCGTTAGGATTTGAAAGTGGCGGCAACGCAATACGAGTGGGGGTATAACAAACGCTGAAATTCTCTGAACACACTTATCTACTTTTTTACGTTTAAGGGGTCATACTCCTGCAAACGTTATTCAGTTATTTTTAGGAGTGCAATTTGCACGGTATATTCTGAAGATGTTATTTCACTTGTAGAGTAGACTGTCAAAATCGAAAATTACTACACAGTTCGATTTTGTGGCTCATGTCGTAAACCGTTGATGAAATGCGGTTCAGTGGCTGCTGCCAACATTGAGATTTTGCTCACGTAAACAAACAAACAGACAAAAACGAACAAAATATCACCAGGTGTGCAAACGTATCAGACTAACTCTCCGCAAACTCAAAGCTTCGAAAATCTTATGCTTTCGACTAAAAATACCTTGCGTATACTTTGTGGCAAAACTCACTCGTTTCGCGCTGTGCGTGAAATCGACATCAGTGGCAGCAGGCAACAAGTCCGCTATCGCTCCCCTTCCAGCCTTTCCTGGGAGACAACCTCCGTCTCTGGGAGAAGTAAGTCTGGTCTCCTTTTTATTGGCCCACACGATTGATGGCCGAAATGTTACTGTAGGTGTGAAATTCAAAGGACAACGAATTCACTAATGTGTATGACGGGCCACCGTTGGCTGTTCATAAATGTGACCTGATAAACAACATCGCACATGGATACCGGCCTAGCATTTACAATAGCAGCCAGGGTATGCAGCAGCGCAAAAAATTTTCATGATTACCAGCAAAGGAAGGTCTAAGTTCCATCAGCGTTATTGGATTTTTTAAATATTACAGCCAACGAGCGGGTTTGTTTCAAATGGGAAAATGTCGTGTTGGTCGCTTACATTCAGGTGCCTTATAATCCGGCACCATTTACTTGCTATTTGTGCATATCCAAAAGTGGACGTCCTTCGGATGTGTATACTGATATCACTACCATACAGCTGCTTCAAAACGCATCGAATTTTCTTCTATTGTAATAATACTAATAATAATTTTTCTTCCAAACTATTGGGTGGCACATCGTCAGGCATGTTCATTGTACTACTGTTCGAATAAGAGCATGGCTGATGGGGTTTGCGATTAATGGGAATTTCCTGGAAAGTGGAGAGTGACGTAAACCGTGGTCATTAACGAAGTAGAATTCATCACACCTGAGCTGGCATGGGCAGGGATCCAAAATTACAAGGGCTCTTTATCTTCTATGGAGGACATACCAGATGACAAAATATCTGATCGTTAGGATTTGAAAGTGGCGGCAACGCAATACGAGTGGGGGTATAACAAACGCTGAAATTCTCTGAACACACTTATCTACTTTTTTACGTTTAAGGGGTCATACTCCTGCAAACGTTATTCAGTTATTTTTAGGAGTGCAATTTGCACGGTATATTCTGAAGATGTTATTTCACTTGTAGAGTAGACTGTCAAAATCGAAAATTACTACACAGTTCGATTTTGTGGCTCATGTCGTAAACCGTTGATGAAATGCGGTTCAGTGGCTGCTGCCAACATTGAGATTTTGCTCACGTAAACAAACAAACAGACAAAAACGAACAAAATATCACCAGGTGTGCAAACGTATCAGACTAACTCTCCGCAAACTCAAAGCTTCGAAAATCTTATGCTTTCGACTAAAAATACCTTGCGTATACTTTGTGGCAAAACTCACTCGTTTCGCGCTGTGCGTGAAATCGACATCAGTGGCAGCAGGCAACAAGTCCGCTATCGCTCCCCTTCCAGCCTTTCCTGGGAGACAACCTCCGTCTCTGGGAGAAGTAAGTCTGGAAATCTGAGGCTGTATTTAAGTGAACAGCATTGCGGCGCGAACTTTTGCTCTGCCTGAAATAGCGTGCGTCCCACAATGTTACGGAACGATGTGGCCGCTTCCCAAACGCACACCCAAAATTTCTCTAAAACCATGATTCAAATAAGGGAAACTTTAACATAATGTTTTAGCATTTGATGATAATTATTCAAACGGTAAAGTTCTCCTCACGCAGTCGCAATTTTATTAGGAGTTGTTTAAACGAACTCACAGTCCACTGTGCGCGCGGAATTCGTATTTTAATGTCAGCCGGTGGCTTGGAGCATTCCTTTAATAAAACGATGCAAAATTTTGTATGATTTCGAGGAAATCGTCAATAGCCGCAGACACGAAATTCAGCTGTCCAGTCCCTGGAAAATATAACAACTAACGGTGCAGAAGACCCCGGTACAAACCTTTTCCATCACAAGACGAAGCTGACGAGATTGATCCTGTCGAAGTGCTCTGAAATCTCTGGGAGGGTGCTGTCGGTTTTATTCAATCTGGCGGAGTTCATGAAATCTGCGTGAAAGATAGTTAGGTTGGTTATTTAAACGCAAGGTAACCACTCTGGTTGAAGTGCGGGAAGTTATGGAAAACGGGAAAAGCTGGAGCAACCATGTGGACACCGCTGTACTTCAGCTCGCCCTTATGGGGCTGCAGCTGTATGACGGCATCTGCCTCTACAAACAGAGCAAGGATAGCTTGAAAGTAGGATAAGAGGTCATATAAAATATGTGCAAAACAAACTCGGTGCACTGGTCAGACTGTATTTATATCAAGTGGTGAACAGTTTATAAACCAAAGATTCCTCGAGGTTGCACCTTGTTTCAAGTGGCCTGATTTATGGACATTTAAGACTGATTGATGGGGATGAATGCCCTCGTGTTTTTTAGGTACATAAGGGCTTTGAGTGAAGGAAACGAATGGAACATATTATTTCATACCCAAGGCGTACTTTTTTCCTTCTAGAAGCGTGCTTCTTGTGATGCTTGTTGTGTGAGAGGGAATCCACATCTATGGAGTTCGAAACATGCCCTGATGCCTTCGCCGTTCATTTGGCTACTGTTTCGCCATTGCCCGCGGAGTTCGTTCGCAGTTGAAACTCTATTGTGTTTGCTTGCATGTCTATCATATGACCTTTTTTGACTCTTCCTCTCTTTCGCAAGTCCAGGTACCACGGACGTGTCATCACGAGCCCCAGATATCCGCTGAACTGACTTATCCCACCTGTTCGACGCACGACCGCGGAGTCATGTTCCTCAATCCTCGCCGGACATTAACTCCCTTCCTAACACCTTGATATTTCCTTGTCAGTCTCCGATCCGAACATTTTCTCCCTCCATTTCCAGACCTGATGTTATTTCCAGACTTGTGCAAGATAACCACAACAAAACCTGTCTCGCAATTTAATCACGCACTTGGTTTCACACAAGCGGCTCATTCCAATCCCGATTATGAATCCGATAATAACGAAAAGCCGTCAATGAAGACGGAAGGAATACAACAGCTCAGACTTTATCCGTTACCTTGAAGCAAGTGCATGAAGAGGCCGCCAACTACACGACACAAGTTCCTTTTCGTCCTGACCAGCGGATTCCATCGCTCCACATTGAGCACGATGATAACAGCCAAGCTGTAGACGGCAAGCCACAACAAACAAAGGTGGCAGTGGACGCGAGCTCCAGTGAGCAGATGAATATGGACACCGCATGTACCATGAACCTGGACACGGTGGTCAACGAAGCGGACATTTCCGTAGTCAGCTCGCCAGCTGGGCACACAGAAGATTAAGTCTATCAAACTGGTGCATTTTCGATCACTTCGCCGAATTTGACTTTATTAGTGTTCTCTTTTGTTAACAACAAATCACTTGGTAGATCAGAAGGCGAGGAAGAGACACTAATGAAACCTGTTTTGAGGGCGTGGGGTTACAACAACTCGGTGCACCTTAATCAAATGCAATACAATGCCGAAAATAGAAAGGTTCAAACGAAGAACTTACCGAGTGTTGATTGTAATAGTTTCACCTAGTTCGTGTGGGTGCACGTACTAGTGTTTCTTTTGGCAGACTCCCTGCTACACCATCCTGGTTGCTCGCACTTCTTCCTGCTTGAGCCGGTCTGTGTTCCGACGCGCGAGTGATGCATGTGTGTGTGTTTGATTGTGTCCTGTCCTCATGTATAGGTCGTTGAAATGAACAGGACATGAAAACAGTGTGAAGTCACCTGGTGTCGTTCAAAAGGTCATGGAACGGGACTTGACGTATTGTCGTATTCATGTCACGATTTTGACGCGTGATTATGAGACAGACGAAACGGAATGTGGGTAGTAGGTGCCGGTGAGAAATTGATTAGAGGAGTAATTAAGCAGAAGGTTAAGCGTTAAAAATACTCACCTTTTAAAGAGGGATCATATGGGCGCTGTCATCAATCCAGACAAGTCACGTCTTGTCTGGTAATGCACGTTGTGTGATGTGGAACGAAAAAAAGCACGAGGGAGACAGTGGATGCGGGTGCACTAACCAGATTGGGCAACCGCTACAACTTCATTGAAAACCAAGACTTTCGTTACCACTGCCCACACGTCTGGAGGCTGGCAACCTGTGGTTGGACATACTCGCCTTAAAGTCGGCAACTCATGAGGTGACGCGAGTGACGTGTCTCACCGACTGCCACCACCAATGCAACAGAAAGCGGGGAATAATTGTCCTCAATCAGAGGTATTTTGTCGCATGCCGTTCGAGCCTGAGCGGCTTCTGACTGCCCTTAGACGCCTTTGAGCAGCGAGCCACTCCACACCAGAAAACCAAAAAGCGCCTACGTCATTCATGACCGTTGTCAAGCACATATGGGCGTGCACTGCCAGTTATACAATCAGTTAGATCACATTCTTTCACGTGACCCTGGCCCATCCCCCTTAATTATTAGCCAAACAGTGGGAATGAGTACAGGTTTTACAAGCACTCTTCGAGCACTGCAGACAGTGCTCAGGCTCGGGAGAGGGCAGTTTAACGCAGTTGAACTTCGACTGTACCCCGTAGCACCCCCATCATATAACCCTTTGTGTGCCGCTTTCTTTCTCTCCCTATTGCAGGTACGACGGACGAGCCACCACGAGCCCCGGACAGGAAAGAGTAGCCCGCTTTTAAATCCCCTGGTTGATCTTGACCTATTTTTGAACCCCTGACACACTCTGGTTTTGGTTTCGGTTGGATACACGTGTGTTGTTGCCAGTCTCCGATCTTCTCTCCTGTGTCACCTGACCCATGCAAATGTGTGCCGTGCGTGCCGGGTGGATTCCGTAATACAAATATCTATATCTGCACATTTCAGGACCGACGTGCGCCGTCACTACATACTCCCGAACGTCGAACACCGCCGACTTCCTGACATCCCACACTACAGTGGGTGCCGGCAGCTTAGAGCATTGTCGCTATAAAAACGGTGGAATATTTTGTGGAAAAGCTGGTTCTTCGCGTGTTTTCTTGCCCACTGGATTTGAAAATAATCTTAAAACGACGTAGGCAATAATCACGCTTATTACCTCCGGGCAGACTCAAACTTAACCGGGCAGTCGCGACTTGGATATGGAAAATTCTTCTATGGATGGCGTGTGCCGTGCGTGCCGGGTGGATTCCGTAATACAAATATCTATATCTGCACATTTCAGGACCGACGTGCGCCGTCACTACATACTCCCGAACGTCGAACACCGCCGACTTCCTGACATCCCACACTACAGTGGGTGCCGGCAGCTTAGAGCATTGTCGCTATAAAAACGGTGGAATATTTTGTGGAAAAGCTGGTTCTTCGCGTGTTTTCTTGCCCACTGGATTTGAAAATAATCTTAAAACGACGTAGGCAATAATCACGCTTATTACCTCCGGGCAGACTCAAACTTAACCGGGCAGTCGCGACTTGGATATGGAAAATTCTTCTATGGCTGCGGCAAGCGTCCAGCCGAAGCCAAGGAGTTTGTCACAGCTAGCGAGTTTTTTGTTTTGTATGATGGTCAGCATACGTCTTGTCTGGCTTAAGGAAGGTTTGATATTCACCGACATACCGAACAACCAATGGCGTCGTTGATTGCAATGTTGCGTCTGTAAGCTGACCAAGCAGACGGCACAATAAGCTGGCCACTGCTTTTAAGTCCCTGCGCAAATTAAACGAGCTGAAACGGTCTTGTAGGTAACACGGTCCTCCGGGAAATATAAAACATAAAGTAAACTGTGAGCAAGCCATTAGACTGGGTATGTCAGTCGTAGTACCGTCTTCGCGACACCGTATTTGGGCCCATGGAGAGCCACGTACATTAACATCTTGAATGAGCCTTTTGAGGTTGTCATTGTGTGTCGATGCGTACTCATGAGGAAATATGTGGGAATGAAGGGCGTGCATTGGCTAGATTGTGAGCTAATAAGTTAGCTTCAAGCTTGCAATGACACGAAATCAGAGATGCCTGAGTCGTTGCGCGTTTGTGAGATGCGCCAACCCAAGCATGGAGCCGCTACAGGCTAAAGAAAAGCGTGGAGCTTTGCGAAACCATTTGCATCTGAGGGGTCATGTCACGTGTATTTGGTGAGTCTTTGTTAACATCCTTTGCTCTCCTATCAATGACGATCATAATAATGTTGTCCTTTGGTATGCGCTTGGTACCCACAAAGTGTTATGGTATCTTAATCATGTTCATTCCAACAGGTGTGTGGCCTACCGTCAGCCATGATCCTAAGATTATAACCAGAATATGAAATGAATTTGTTCGCAGTTGCATGTAATGGAAAAAGTGGAGGACTGGGAGCAGTAAAAAGAAGAAAAGGCACAGTTGCGGGTGTGCTATCAAACTGGGTATAGCAGTGTACTGAAATACTTTGGTTTCTGGACAGCCCCCTAACGGACGTCATTTTTGAAGTGATTGAGCCAGGCTGCGCAATTCCGTGGGTAGGAGGATATTTTTGTTTGGCCGAGGAAATCCTCAGAGGTAGAGCAAAGCCCACACAAGATCTCATGTATTTTTCGGATCCTATCGGAGGGCTAGTTTGGTGCAGAATTTTTTCATATTCATTCGAAGTTGAATTAGTTTTGGTTTTAGTGTGACAGATGAGGTCAATGCACAAACCTGAAGTGCTCGGGTCGTCTTCGCTAATTTGAAAAACCTATGGCCCCAAGGCAGTATATCCGTGAAAATTAAGTAACGTGTGTATCAGGCTGCAGTACGGGCTGTTCTGTTGTATGGCTGTGAGACTTGGCCTGCTTGGGAAGCGGAACCAAGGCGTTTCAGATGTTTGACGACTTGTCTCAAAACTATAGCTCGTGTGGGTGGGTGTCGTCAGATTTGCAAGGCGACATTTAGATAACGAGTGTTCGGTTGTGCACTGCCGATTTTTGCTAAAGAATGTGTCCTTGAGGTCTCCAGCTAGATCATTACTATTATCTGAGGCTGCTGGCTTGCAGCATGTTTAAGTATCTTATCAGCTCATTTATTCGGATATAGTCAACATTATTTCGGCAGTGAAAGTGAGTTGACGTGAATGATGAGTTGGATGAAGCCCAGAAGAGTACCCCTTGTTGATTAGATCACTACTGTGGTTGAGCATAAAATGGTTACGAGTTTCGAGGAGGAAGACCGAGCTGTCGATTTCATTGAGATATATTGTATCGGTATCAGAGACCAGCAATAGAGCGAATTTGGGATTTAGCGCTCCAAACGGACGGATTTGGCACCAAGCACCCGCGCACAAACTGGATCTTTGCCACGACTGCATCCAAGGATGCACATTTGAAGACTTGTGTGGCCCTCGGATCTTGGGGCTGAAGTCCACACCACTTGGTCTTACGGCTGACGGGCAACCACCCCCTCTCTAGCTTTAACTTCGCTGCGCGTAATAATGCACACTGTTACCGAATCTTACTATCGAATCATCGATGAACGCACGATGCTCCATCGTTATCGCCCATTGGACTAATTCAGCAGTTGGTGAGTTTAACTTTATAGCAGTAAGTCTCCAGGTTCGGCGCAGAATTGTGGACAAGGAGATTTGTTTAGTACTTGGTGAGTTAGCCACTGCAACTTTAATTATTTCTTTCAAATGATATCGCGGAAAATGTGCGGGAGTCGTAATTGATTATATATCTTTCAGAAACCATGTTTAATAGAAAGGTGAGAACTGGATTGATCACACATTATGTTTGTACAGATGCCAGGATGCAATTCATAAATAGAAGGTGATTATGTATCTTTGAAGCACGGGGTTTTGGTAGGTGGACGACTTATGGATATGAATGACCCTAGTTAATTACCGGATTAGTCCATTATGTATAGTCGGGACATTTTTAGTCAGCTGCGAACACGGGCACGGGCCCGGCAATTACTATATTTGGCCTCGGCATGTTGGATCGAGCATAGTTATGAGTACGGCGGGCCGTCGTTGGCCCTGTGGACTTGGCCATTGGGCATAGTTGAATCCTCATAATCGGCGTTGCGCATAGATACGGGTCCTGCAATTCCGATAAGTAGCTAATGTAGGCGATATCGTCTAGTGTTAAGTGTATGACGGACCGTCGTTGACCGTTAGATTAAGACATCAGACATAGTTTAAGTCTCGTTTTTACCGGCCCGCATAGATACTGGCCTGATGTTTACCATAGATAGCAGACATAAATGAGATTGCGCACAGCTATGGGTGTGATGGGCCATCGTTGGCACTGCGCGCAGTTGACGCCTAATTATCAGCATCATAAGTAGGCATTGGCCTGGCAGCTTCGAAAATAGTCAAGGTAGGAGATATCGCGTATAGTTTTTTAGTATCAGCTCCGTCGTTCGCCATCAGATTAGGTGCATGTGCATACTTTAGGCCTCATATTAATAGGTTCGCATAAATGCCGGCCCGGTGTTTTCCCTAAGTAGCAAAGATAAGCGACAACGCTTACAGTTACTAGTACGACAAAATAGCTTGGATTAAGTTACCGGTTAATCAACGCCGCGCTTGGACACGGAACTAGCAGGGACAATAAGCAGCCAGGTAAGGCGACATCGAGTACGGCAGTGGGTATGATGGGCGACCAGATTATGCTATCACACATAGCTGTGACCTTGTTTTTATCGGCCCGCATGGGCACTGGCCTGGTGTTTTCTGTAGGTAGCAAAGATAAGCGGCCTCGCGTATGGTTATGGGTATGAAAGACCATCGCCTGCCGTTGGATTATGTTACTGTGCATAGGTGAGGTCTCATAATCAGCGTCACACATGGACGCGGGGCTCGCGCTATTCGAGATGAGTGACAACGCGTAGAGTTATGAATATGTTGGTGATATGTGAAACCCCGTGATCAGCGTCGCACATAGACATGGACATGATAGTTACGAAAAGTAGCCGAGGCGAGCGACACCGGTTGGCGTTATCATGGCGCTTTATTGCGGTCACTACCTATAGGGCGTCATATTCTTAAGAGGAATGATACCCGCAGCCATCTCGTAATGCAATCTTATCTTCAGGCTAGTTATGCATATCTGGGAAAGGGGATCATCGACAGAGATGACCCCCGCGTTCCCACTGCACAGTTCAAGCTGTTGTCTAACAATGTCGTACCTAACGGAAGTGGGGACCCACAGGAAAATGTGCTGTGTCCAGGTTAGCCGAACAAAATATATTTTGCGATTAAAATCACATATGTTAAAGCTGAGGAGTGTAGAGCAAACAAAAGTCAACAAACGATCATCCAGGGTGAAATTAACATCAGCTATTCTTAAGATGTTTCGTATTCTCAGAGAACACCGAAGAACGCAAAACTATGCTAAAGTACGATTTCCTGTTTTATTTCGCGTAAACCGGTCGTAAAATGCGAATCGGTGATGGTCCGTGACCTTGAAATTTCGCCTACTTAAACGAACTGCTATGTGCAACACGTCATCGGTAAGAGCTTTTTATCTTTTCCAACGTTATGCAATCCGGCTTTAATTACCATGTAGCCATGAAGCCCAACGATCAAAAGAGTTTGAAGAGCGAACTCCATTCCCCAGCGATCCCAGTTCAACCAAGCATATTTCCAACCAAAACAAGGATTACACTGGCAAATCGGTAGGGCAACCAGCCACAGGCGAACTTTTTTAAGCGGATTTAGTCATTGTAGGTTGAACGGCCGAAGTTCACGATTGACCTTTCGCAGCGTAGCCAACTTCATCTGGTTAGTGTCGCCCTCTCAGTAGCCGTAATAGTTAAGACAGCCAAAAATTTTCGGATATTTTACGGTCGACATCGAAAGACTTATTCTCAATTGTTGCACCAAAGGAAGAACATTTAACCGGCGTTTATGGGGTTATTTTCTTATTATTATTTGGTAATTTTATCACCGCTAAATACTCGTAATAATCAGTCAAGCTCACATCATCAAGCGATCACCACAAGCTATCCTCAGTAGCACCGATTTCCCGGAGTATCAGGAGGGTGAGAAGTTGCCCTGGCTACTCACCGAAGTAGTGGAAGAGTAGAGTATATGGAACGAAAATGGGTTAGGTGGTTGATTTTTGTTGGGTATGGGTTTATATTCGATTACTTGATGCCATCCACCCCCAAAGGTTGACCCTCAGTCACCCCGCATGACTGTTGACGTTCTGTATCGAACAGAGTGTGTCCAATGGATTCTTTGAAACTGGCGTATCTGGAGCCTAGTCACTTGGAACGACCAGGCATCACACGAAGGGGGCGGTCGTGCCCTCATCTCTGTCGGCGCCTCCGAAGGAGTCTGCTACTTGCCGTTGATCCCACTAATGCGCTGCGGGAACATGACAAGAGGCTTCCGGGGTTTGGTCACGCACACTGACCGGGCAAAAATTTTCTTATTTATTACTACTAGTACATGGAATAACCTCTCTCCTATAGCTGCTCATGATGCAGCCAGGTTCCAGTCTGAAGCACTTCTGGATCATTTTTATATAAACCCCGAACCGATGGGCTTACGGCCCAAGTTTGAGAAATTAATGGGTTGTGCAAAACCTTTTTTCTTACATATTCCAGAGGGACTGAAGCCGCTGAATGAGAAAAAAATCGAACTCGATCCGGGAACCATGCGTAGACCCTTTCTATCAATCCGTAAACCTGCTAGGCCGAGGACCAAACGTGACCAATCCCTGATTGGCTAACTTATAGACCAATAAGGACTAGGCAATTTCAGCTGGATGAGCCTCGATGGTCCTGGCTTGGCCTTGCAGGAGTAAGTATTTTTGATGTACAACCTTGCTTATTGAGCTTCGGCTAATAAACCTTCTTTCCGTTTATAATCCACAGAAACTTTCGTGAGCAACTGTCTTCGGCGAATTACTGTCCCCAGGCGCTTCCATATATAGTGTGCATACTACATATTTGGCGACCGGGCCAAGGTGGTCGCCACACACTATATAAACACACTATATATAAACAATTTCTCGTTAGTTCTTCCTGTACAAAGTGGAACTGCACGATAAATACCTCATTTTCGACCGTATGGTTATACATAGTGGCTGAATGGCATTTTAGTTATCACTGATTTGTGTCAAAAACACTCATTATATGCGTGTAGAGACCGCGTAAGTTGTCAGGGCTTATATTTTTTAGAACACGTTACACCTTAGGTAAAGACGTGGTGCGACTGTAACAAATACTTGAAACCGCAGTTTCCGCGCATGTGAACCAAATTAAGGTTCTGCTTGTTGTTGAAATCCTACTGGACCTTTCATGAACTCCTCATAGGTCACAGGCATGAAAAACCAAAAAGTTGTGGTAATAGTGATATTCAGAGCTAACACGTGGCGTTATCACACGCGGCGGACTGAGCCTCAGACCCAGCAACCTCTGTACACGCTCACCGGCTACGGGTTCACGGATTGATACACAGGTTCGAGGCTTTGCCCAAGTTTCCCGGGTCGGTTTTGTTCTTGTCGGTCAGTGGGTGTCGTTCACCTGAAAGGCACAAGTGAAAAAGGATGTAGCACTGCTATTTATGTTCTCAGCACAGGGCAGTATGCTTGCCAGCGCGAGGATTCGCATAAGTAGATGTTTAATAGTGCTTCAAACTGGGTTCTAGAAGGAGCGTGGACAACCGTCGGAGGAAGGCCATTCCACGCAGCTACTACCCGAAATGAGAAACAATTTTGTCTAATGAATGTGTGTGCTCTGAGCTTGAAAATTTTCTTACTATGTCCCCGCCGTGTGTTTGCTGGGTCAACGGTAGAAAAAACCTGTTTGCCAATCTTTGTTCAAACAGGGCATAAGTAAGAATTAGGTCCCCTCGGAGGCGACGGTACTCCAGGGGAAAGAGATCAAGCATCGCGAGACGCGTTTTGTAGTCC